CCCCTCATGCACCGGGAAAGGACCACCGTGGGGGTTTTAGTGGGTAAGAATCTCAATGACCCCGCGAGATTTCTTCCACGTAAAAAAAAAGAAAAAGGAAACGTAAAAAAAAAGGTATAGTCAAACAATTTATAAAATACCCGTTAAATGACGCGGCGTACCACTGAATATGCGTCTATTAACAAGATAACATTACTTTTTACTGATTAAATATGCTAAGAAATATTAAAGTCAAGTTATTGTTTTTTAAACAAAATGCTGCAATATTAGAGTCCTAACTGTACAGCTTTATTTAACATGTAAAGTGATCAAAAGCCACAAATGCTTTTAAAATTAAATTCATACAGCAACTGCAAAATAGAGAACATATTGAAGGAATATCTAAAAGAAAACAATAAATCATTGTAAATTAAAAAGATTAATAAGTGTAATTCAAAATAACTCAATTTATAATATCTCAGGTCTTTGCCTATCTAATAAATATTTATTAATGTCTACCAATTATTAGTAACTACATCATAGGAAAAGAATTTTTCCAATAATTGAGGAATTTATTTGGTATCAGTAACTGAGCCAAATATTAATTAATTCATCAGAAGTAAATATTAGGTCAAGTTGTCTAGTTTCTCTTCTTTAACTCCTCATTGTTTTACAACTTAACAAATTTTGTACTACCTAGTTGAATTTATGTCGAAAGTTATAAGATTATAAACAAGGAAATATTCTATTAAAAAGAGTACCTTAAGCTTGAAATATCTACCAGCAACTTGACAAAAACAAATTATTTATATCATGTTACATTCCTGTACATCTTATATAACTCTTATGAAAACAGTTCCTCCAGAATATTTCAAACAGTCTAATTAAAATGGATACACTATATATAAATATAAATATCGTTTCAATTGTTTATAATGATTTTGTAGCATCTAAGATTTAATTTCAAATGAAACTTCAAATCCACACATGTATGCATACATAAAATATAATCATGCAATCTTACAAAAATAATTAATTCCACATAAACTTCAAATATAATTTCACACATCATTGTAAACTTACAAAGTGTCATCATTACTATTTTTCAGCTGCAAAACAAATACTTTTATGTAATATTTGTTTATAATTTATAATAAAACTAAAATTACATATTATATATAAGATTTTGTTAAAATTGAATCAAAGATTTCATTCATTACACAATATTAGTATGTCCAATTTTATATAAAAATATTAAGTATCAATAAAAAATCAAATAAAACTAAACAAAGATAATTACATTAACCTTCTCATATTAACTTCTTTCATCATGTTGATGTAATAATACAGAGATTTTCTTAAAAAAGTTGTCTTTCAATGAATTTATTTATATTTTAGTAAGGCACATGACTTTAACAAACAAAATATTGTAATCTTTGAATGAAAATTAAATAACTGATGTATAAAATATATACAAGAGAAAGAATTGTACATCGGAGTCATGCTATTTAACCCTCAAGAAGACTATCGAAGCAAAGAAAGTAAAAAGGGTCTTATTTCAATTTGTTCGTGTAAATCTAAATCTGTCTAAATATTGTGATAAGAGGGAAAATCACTAATGTGCATGAAAGTCGATATGAAAAAGAATTAACATAAAGGCATATAGTAAGCAATTACATGGTAAAATTGCATACTGTATAATAATTACATTTTTCATATTAAACTTAATCTAACAGATAATATTTATAAAAAATATTTATATAATTATTATTATTTAAATGTACTTACTAATAGGTTTACCATCTTTCCACTGTGTGAATTTCACATTTGCCTCATCACGCTTTAGAGCTTCTGTTCTTAATTCAGGTTTTAATGCTTGCCTTACAAGCCTGGCAGCTATCTGCGAGTAATTTATATAACTGAAATGTAAAATATTTTTTTTAAATATAGAAACATTATTAATGCAGTAATTAGAAGTTATATAATGTTCTGCTATTATTAAAATATAATGTTAATAGAAGTATTTTAGATTTATATTAATAGAAATATTTACTTTAATCCAGCTTGTCTCCACGCAGACATTTCTACTGTTTTCTTTAAAACAAATATTTTCTACGTAATTACAACGTTATAAAATTATCAAATTCCTTCAGATCACCTCGAACGCACCTACAAAATCTAAAGCCAATGTCACATACTTCACATAGATGTTCCAACTGTAAGATAAATATTACCCTGAAGTCAGCTTCAATTACAACCTTAAAATTTAAGTTGTAAAATTAAATTCATTGTTGCCGAATCATACGGAAATAGCAAAACATGATTCATATTAAATTTATAGAAAAGTTAAATGCTTTTTTGATATATTTATCTTCGAAAAATATTTTTCCTTTTTCTTAAATATTCAAAATCTATACATATAACATTAATTATATAGATATAAATATATTATTTTGAATAGAAATTTAAAAATTGCGCTAGGAACATTTTTTTTGTGTAATTATTGTAGTATTTTTAAAATAATTAGGTGACTTTAATCAAATTATTTTGTTTAATATATGAATTTTAACGTTACAGCCAATAAATTATTATTAAATGTTATAAAGATATTACTTATGTACCTATTTTGCACACGTATGATGAGCGTTGAGTACTAGGAAAATTTTATGTATGAATTAAACTATACATATAAATGTAATAATGAAATATCCGTAGCAGCTGATCATTGTCTTCTAGGAAGTTTCTCGCAAGATGTCGGGGGGTATTTTACGTGACAAGCCGCTAGTATGCTTTTGGACGATATGACTTGCTCTCTACGATGCATGTCTACAAAATTCCGGCCTATATTAAATCCCAGAGGGCTGTAATATTGTTGAAATAAAAATTGTTAATTTTAACTATTCCTACAACATTGAAAAATAGAAAAACTAGGACTATTTGTAAGAACTGTGTCAGTGCGTGTATCACTGCCAAGACCAATTATTTGGAATATTAATTTTTGATGTGATTACGAAATAGAATTTTTATATTGGACAAAACTACTTTTACTACAATTGAAAACAACATTACCATTATTTAAAGTTGGGATGGGAGCTAAAGCAAGTACGGTGGCACAATCTGCTGGAGGCAATGGACAATCCTCTACTGGAGCAAATGAGGCTGCAATGCAAGGATTTTCTATGCTTCGCTCTCTTCCTGGAGGTGTTAGCATGTTACAACATCAACATCAGCAAGGAAATCAATCACAAACCTCTCGAGTATCTGGAGATAGCAGACAGCGTGCTCGTTCCTTAAGTTCAGTACCAGACCTCTCTTCTGGTGAACAAAGCAGTCTTGCTTCTTCAGTTGGAGTTGGAGTTGGTCAAACATTAGGTCTACCCCAACTTGACTCGGATGAACCTGAGGAAGATAGTGGTCGAGTATATGCAGCCCATAGCTTACCTTCTCATATTTGGTCTCTTAATGGTATGTTTATGAATTTAAAATATTTACATTATATAATTCAAAATAATTGTACTTTAGTCTATTCAATATATTTTATTATTGTCTTTTACATACACATACACACGTGCACATGTAAACTCTTATATGTATCTATGCAAAAACTTTAACCCATTTGTAGACGTACTAATTTATAGCCAACCAAATATTATAATAAAATTAGTGATTATAATATTTTATAAACAACCTATTATCAATGTTATTTAATATGACTAAAGATTCTTCACTCCTTAACAATAAAAATTAGTTGTATTTCTTTTTACTTTTGTCAAATTATATTACCTACCAGATTTGATGAGTGGGTTAAATAGTTTTTAAAATTTATAATGAAATGTTAATCATCTTTTATAGTTTATACATTTCTAGTACATTAAATCTTGAATAATTTTTAATATGAAAACATGAACTCTTATGTTAATTGTACGATTATCAATATAAATTAAAAACATATGACTAATTCAAAGTACCATATAGTGTCTGTTAGTTATTTAATTTCTGGAAGGTAAATAATCAATATTTTATTTTTTAACGAAAGTATAAAAAATATAATTAAAAGTAAAAAATGTATAGGTGTTTATAATACTATTATAATATTAAAATGATTAAAACATAATGGGCAGCTGCATCATTTATATCATATTATTTATTATAAAAAGAATAAATGCTTTTAAAATTATGTGTTTGAATTTATAATTTGATAACTGATTTTGAAAATTGAATTATGACATTACAAATCATTGAATGTGGTTCAAATAATTCTCATACATTTTAAAAATATATAATATTTCATTAGAATACAATAAAAATCTTCTTTGTGTTACAGACTTTATTACAAATTTTGAATTAATTTTGTATTTCTGTACTCTTAGTAAAAATACTGAAATATTTTCTGATTAGTTAAGAGAAAAATTTAAAAAAAAATAGAAATATTTTACATATATAGGAATGTAAAAATCAGGTGTTCGTATGTCTTTTATATTTAGACATAAATATAAAATGTTATAAAAGTAAATATCACAATTATTGAAAATGTGCAGATGAATTGTTACAGTTTTTGTAGAATTTTAATGTTTTTCAGATATCAGATTACTCTATTTCAGACCTTCAATATTTTAGATCAAAGATTACCATCTGTAGTTAAGTCTAATTCTAGCTTGCCTACATTCTGTGTTTATTTTCTTTATATACATTGTGCTTTGTGTATGATGTTAGAAACATTGATAATTATGAGTAAGTACAATTTTTTAAGTAGCCTTTACATAATAATTATGATATTGATATTAGTTTTATTCATATATGTAAATTCAGTAGATACCATATATTAGGTATAACTTTAAAAGTCAGCCTATATCTTTTGACAAATTTTATTATGTACATAAATATATAACAAATCCATTTAATTCTTATTATAATTTCTTTGTATTTTTTTTTATTTCAATTGGTTTTAAGCAAAAAAAACGTAAAACATTCTTCTCTTTCAGAATATCCACTACAGAATTTTGAAAATTAATGCTAATAGATATTTGCTTTTAATACATGTTTATACAATTTATTAATATCTTTAGTGATCTGATTTGCATTTATGCCTTTGTTGTATTCGTTCATCTGCATTCCTTATTGTGGACTAAAAATTTGGTATAGGAATTGGGTAATAATACATTGGAAGGGTTTAAGTGAAAACAAACACTGAAAGTGTATTTGATACCTCTATAAAATATGAGAAAACATTTTAAATGACCTGATTGATTCACTTATTAGGATACAATAATATCTGGTTAGTGATAGAGGACTACAAACTTAGGTAGGTAGGTATTTTAGGAATTACTTGATTTTATTCTCTCTAGTTTGTTCACCTTTGATATATACAGAATATGTATTAATTTAGATAGAATGAAATACTATTTACAATTCTTCTGTTTAAAAATTGATTATATATAATAATGCTTTGCATCATTTGTAGTAATACAATTAGAGCAATCTCATAATTGCAAAGAAAAGCATAAAACTTAGTTGCATTTTCCTTTGGTGGGTCATTATCATTTGTGTTAGTATTATAATTTTAGGAATTGATGTGGATAACTCTATGATTATTAGACCAGGAAATTTATGTCTACTAACTGTATATTACTATATAGAAAAAGGAATTATTCTTATTATATGATTCTAATCCAAGAAATAGTACTTACTAATGATTACTGATATTTCTGATGTTCGCAACATCATGCACAGATCATAATATGTATAAACTCAATAATCATGGCTGGGGGTAATAAAATTTGGATTGAAATTTTGATAGTGGAAAACTAGGCTACACATTTATTTTAATATTCTGAATTTTATTTGTATGACCCGTTACAGAAATGATTCTACTGGAAATCATTTCTAGGCAATTAATTCCATTCCGTTTTATAAAATAACTCATTAACAATTTAGGTAGTTAATCCATGTTGATAATATATGATATTTTCAATCTTTAGTTATATATGTGCTTATATCTATGAAAGAAAATTGCAAAAGCAAACTAATAACTTAAAGCAAAAGCAAACTTAACTAATTTTTTTTAAATTTGTTAGAATATTATATTGCTATTGAACTATTCTTTCATTAAATATATGTTTTAAAGAGGCAAGAAAACATGCTGAAAATTGTGATAGTGAAAATTTTCACTATTGTAAGAATCCATTTTAAAGATTTTTGTAGTGCTAAATTTTATATACTTTCAAACATCAAAAGGAAGAAAACTTCTTGAAAAGTCTCATCGATTTGTTTTGAAATAAATCTAATGTATAAACTTGATTACATTGAAAGCGCAGTTCTTTTAATAAGTATATTTATGTTCATTAATACGTTTGTGTTTATACTATTGTTTTATTTAAATTGTAACATATTATATATGATACATTTATTTGTCATTATTCAAATATTCGACAGAATCATCCAGATAGTTTAGATAAAAGTTTGTAATTGTTTTGATTTTAAAAAATCATATTACAACTCTACTGTAAAAAGCTTATAAAGCTTGGGTTACATTGAGACAGGCAATAAAATATTCTGTAATATATAGCACTAATATTTAAATAGTAAAAAAAGGTTGCTCATACTTATTTTATCACAGACTTATATCATTAAACTTCATTGGTGATTGATAAAATTGTTCATATACATTAATGTAATTCACATTTTTCTTTATTAATGTAACCTTGGTTACATTACATTAAAAATCTTGACGATAAAAAATTTAGGTATAGTAGGAATACTATAGTACTGATATAAATATTATTGTTTGAATATCATGTATATTCATATAATATAGGTGCATATGTGCATATAATTATTTATTTATTTAATTACTGCAATAAATACATAAACGTCATGATTTAATAACATATAAATTTATGAAATTATGAACTATGTAGTATATGTTACATGCATTGATAACAAAGTAATAATTGAATATGCACTTTTTGATTTCTGTGCGTATAATATGTGCATATAAAAAATTTAAATTTGATAGTTTTTGATATTTACTAAAAAGAGATTCAAAATGTTACAAGGTTTAGAAAAATTAAAAAAACTGAATATCCGAAAACTTTTAAAAATATATTATGACATTTTGTAGATTTAAATTTTTGCTTTTTCATTAAATGTATTTCGTAAACATTATTTTGCAATCTTATTTCTATTTGACTTTAAAAATACAAAACAGAAGGTTAT